TCGCTCCAACAGCTCCATGTCCTTCTTGTGTTGGAGACTCCAGAGCTGAATGTAGTATTCCAGGTGGGGTCTCGGGAAAGCAGAGTAGAGGGACAGAATCCCCTCCCTCGACCTGCTGGCCACGCTTCTTTGGATGCAGCTCAGGATACGGTTGGCTTTCTGGGCTGCAAGCACACATTGCCGGCTCATGTTGAGCCTAACTGACTAATTACTATTGCTATTCCTGATCAGATCATACTAGCTACTTTTTTTGCTTTAATCGCTATATAGAAGACAAATCATCCTCTTTGTTTTAGGCCACTAAAGCTAGATTCTTTTTGATTCTTGCCTCCAGATAACACTAAGTCAGGCACTTCTACATATGCCCCCTGAGTTTCTAACTTCTTTGACCATACTGTTCAAAGTCATTCTCTGATCACTTCATGCTTTCAGTACTGCACTCTCTCCTTCGCTGGACAGTGTTTTTTGTGTGGGTTTGTTTGTTTTGGGTTTTTTTAATGGTTTTCTGTGGGGTTTGTCAGGTTGGACTTATTTTGTTAAATAATTATGCAAGTGTACTCATAAAAAAACCTCACACAAAATATCATGATATTAAGAGATCTATCCCTAGATCCCATAAAAATCTGTAAATTCATGCTATTAGCTTTGTGTGACGTTAGACGCACGGTAAGATATTAGTAGTTTTAAAACAACAGTTTATTCTACTTCAACAGAGAGACTTCTTGAGGAAACGACTTGATGTAGGGTCTACAAATAGAGATTCTTTGGAAACAGGACAAAACCTATGTAAACAGTGAGCATACAATAAGTCTATCTTACTGCTACTGCCTCTTCATCATTAAAACGACTCATGTACACGTGGTACAACAGATGCTTCCTGAGGCAGATAGCCTCCCACAACACATGACAAACCTCAGTTAGTAATATGTTCTCCCTTTCACTTACCCTTTTACAGCCTACCTCTTTAAACCAGTTTAAACAATTGCAATCTTTTGTATGTTACTAATAAAGTAATAACAGTAGGAGCTAGATTTGATAGAGAAATTCATGTTAACCTGCCCTAACAGTAAATATAGTCTTTTTCCAGATCCTTCCTTTTTTCTCTTCTCTTCTCTGCTGCACCATACTCTCTGGTTTTCACACTGCGATAGCCTACATTACAAAAATTAGTAACTGCACAGTAAAGCATACTCTACTTTGAAGTACGACACAAATTTACTATCCAAACCAAGTTGTTGTTTTGAAGTACATAATTCTACACTGAAAATTCAGGGCGAGTATTAGAAAGTTATATGAATTCTGAATACAAAAAGAAAATTCAAACACATGAGTAGCTATGACAAAAGCTCTTTTTTTGAAGTGTTCTGTAATAACTACAATTGGACAAGTGTTGTGGGTTAGGTCGCTCCAGCAACCGGACCCCCACACACAGCCGGTCACTCACCCTCCCCCACCCCCAGGAATGAGGGAGAGAATTAAAGGAGAAACAGGAAACCCGTGGGTTGAGATAAGAACAATTTAATACAGATGATTTCATACACAGTGTAGATGCTCACCACCCCCTCTTATCCGCAGCCCGTCTCGTCCCAAAGCTGCAATCCCAGACGAACGCGAGGTCCCAAAATAGAGAGGGGCAGAGAGAGAGAAAGTACTCCGAGAGTGGGAGTACTGGAAGAAAGAGAGAAAAAAAAAAAGGCAATAGAGCAAAAGCGCAGCAAGCGCAAAAGAGCAAAAGCGGCGAAAGAGCCAAAGCGCAAAAGCCCTTCTTTCCGGCTGACCCTCGCTTTTATACTGGGCATGACGCTGCATGATATGGAATACTAATTGGCCAGTTTGGCCCTCAATCTTAAGTTCCACCACAAATCACAAGGGGAGTCATGTCCCCCTTGACCCAGCTATGCTCCCACCTTATCCCGCCGTGCTTCTGCACTCCGGCACACTGAAAAGTCCTTGGAGTCTCACGTCCAACCACAAACATCAGCTTGCTATCAGCATTCTTCTCAGAGCGAGCCTCTGAGTAAAACCAAAAGCACGGAGCTCTTCTAGCTGCTAAAAAGAAGAGCTAACTCTGTCCCAGCTAAAACCAGGACAACAAGTATATTCTCTACTGAATTTAGAAGTTCAAGCTTTTTCATCTTTATAAATCTCTTAAGCAATACCATCTAGTCTAACCTAGGTAACAGACCAAAGAATAAGGAAAAAAATATCCAATCGGTCCATGCTCAAACTGGAGTCCCTCTATCTTCCTTAGGAGACTTCAACAAATCCCTTATGTGTTTCAATGACTAATAAATCCCATACTAAAAATTTAGATCAAGTTTCCCCACATCAACTTCCTTAAGGTCAAATACAAGCTTCTTTCCAGTCCACACAAGGTATATCCAAACGGCTTGTAGTATCAGACAATTTTTGAGTACATAAAAAGTTTCTTATAAAAGTTCAAATTTCCTTATATCCTAGAGAAATTACCTCTCTACAGAATGATTTTATGTGAGATTTCATTTTACAGAGGAAAAATAAAACCACAGTATAAAACAGGGCATGAGCAACATTAGGAAAAATAATAGAGAATATGCAGGTGAAACATCTGCAATCACTGTTGAGAGTTCTCAACTGAATTAGCAAATTAAAATAGTTAAAATAAATAGTTCAACATATTTAGCTCTTGTTACCTTCCTCTCTCAAAACAACTTATTTACAAGAACTTCCAGACTTGGTGTAAATATACACTTGTAATTTGTAACACTGTTTTAGTGCTGGTAAAAGAGCAAAAAGTTATCGTACATTGTCACATTCTGCCTGCCAAATAAAAAGCTGACAAACACCTAATCAATATACTGCTCTTCCAGGAGTCTTGCAAGCAAAAATCATGCAGCATGAAACAGGAAATCCATTATCCTGCTGTTAAGTAAAATCCTTGTATTTCATACAAGCTTAATATCTAATAATTTTTTTTTTAATTATCAGTCCTCATTCTTAATCAAAACAAGCAGCATTACCCACTCTGACAGAAAGAAAAATAATATCTGGTTTTGAAATAGCATATATTAGGACATATTTAGTATATATTCAGACCTACTGTAATCAAGTAACTACATAACTATGTTGTTAAAATGTCAGATCTTTTAAGATTATGGTAAAGATCCAGTGAGAACACTAAACCAAGAACATATAGACTACTAGTTAACCTTGCAATTAAATTGCATTTCTCATTAATTTCAGGTTACTTTTAACGCCTTAGAAGAAAGCACTCTATGCAAATATATATTCACTACTGATTTGCATGGAAACTATATGTACAAAAAAGCTCATTTAGGGTTTTTTTTTTTAATTAAATATTTATTAATCAATTAAAATGAGCTAGCAGAAAAAAGGGCTACATTTCAGTCATCTTATTTTAATGCACAGTGAGTAATTTGAATGTATAGTTTCACTCATCTCTCATTACATCTCTCTCAGCTATAACAGTACCCTTCATGAACTGTTCTAATTTCAGTCATTTTAACATGTTTTAAGAGTCAATTCTATTGCTTGGATTTATCTTGACTTTTGTCTGGAACAAGAGGAAACTTAAGGTCAGATACAAAGATGGTCTACTGGAAACCAGGACAGATCTTTTAAATACTAATAAAAAGTTTCCAGTGTATAAATATCTCAGTATTTTCTTTTAACTTTCATGTATAACAAATGCAATACAAGCCAAGAGAATCATATGATGTTGAGAAGCTCCTCAGAAAGCTCACACTCCATCACAAATGTTTCAGTCTGCAGACTAGATTGTACCTGTCCCAATATCAGTGACAATAACCAACCATTCTGCAACAGAGCTAGACTAAATCCAGTGCCTGAACTGCCTCACCATGACACTCCCTAAGGTACAGAGTAGATTTTTTTAGCTCCACAGTTAAAAAATACATTAATTTATTCTGGATCATTCTCTCCATTGTACTCTGTTCCTTCAGAAAACTCCTATCAACCAAGCATCTACCACTGTTGACGCTGTTTGTACATAGTTGCACAGAAAAGTAAGTAGCATCATGTTAAGCTTGACAACAATAATTCACAACTTAACTCATTCACAGAGAACAATCTTTCCTGAGATGTTACAAAAAAAGGGCAGAGAAATCAGGGCTAGATTCTTCTGCCACTCATCTCCAGTGAGAATGGGCTTCAGAACCACATGGCAATATTCTTGTTTTTAGGGGACAGGAGATGAGGAGACATCTTCACTCCCTCCTCCTTACTCAAGCCTGTACCTGACAACTGCCAGAAAGCAGAAGCAAGAACAATGAAACTATCTGGATATTTCCATTCCTACCCAATAATTTTGAGAATCCCAACAGTTAAGTTGAGTAAGTGCAAGGGCAAGTCTTTTGCCAGGACCATGAGGAGCCTGCCTACCGAAGTCATTTGAGCACAGTCACTAAAAACTTCAGGCAGGCCCAAATAAACTTCATTAGCTCACAGGACTTAATCTATCATTAAGCTACAGGAGGAGGTGCTTACTACTTGTCTGTAAAATGTAAGCAAAAAAAACACATAAGAAAGCTTTCTAAACTGCTGTCTGTAACAGGTATTGTTTTGCACCAGGAAGTGCCTGGAACAGATCTAAGGTAAACGGAAAAGCCCAGCAATGCCTTAAGCAAGAAAATCTTAGAGTAAAGAAACTAAAACACCAAGTGGCAGATCGCATCAACTCCTTATTGCCTCATTGCAAGCTAAACCAATACCATTTGCCTACTTCTTACACTAATCACAAAAATAACAGCTTTTATACCTTGTCATATAAAACTTTCCTTTAGGCTAGAACAATAGACAGTAATATTCCATTTCAGACAATTCTATAGTTTATAGTTTCCTTTCACATTTGGCTGTGGGAAGGGCTGAATTGAGGAAAACAGCAACAACTGCTCAACTGCTGGAACATAAAGAGCAGCTATATGAAACAGGAAAAAAAAAAAGGCTTCATGTATGCACAAGTGAAGCCTTTTTCCTCCTACCTCATCACTTTCATCTACTTCAATACCACCATCTTTGTCATCATCCATTTGCTTATGGATCATGCGGAGAGCTTCTAGGCTGAATCGGTCCTCCTCGGTAAAGCATGGTGGGTTGAGTGAACTGCAGGGATCTAAAGTGCAGGGGTAAAAAAAAAAAAAAAAAACATAAAACAAAAATATTAGCTACTGTCACTGTAGAATATAAAGCTCCCAAGCAAGAAAAAGGGCTTAAATTTCTGTATGTGTACATATACTTCACTGCACATATCCATCAGGTCATGGATGTCAACTTGAACTGCAAAATAGTAATTCTTACCAAAAAAGTGAAGGGGGGGGGGGGGGGGGGGGGGGGTGGCACAGAAATGAGCTATTTTATTATCCAGGAAGGAAGCCCAAAGAATAGGTTGGAATAGCATGAACTCCTGGATTTTTTCTTCCACCCCTGTAACTGCTATCTCCATTTCTTCTTCTATCTATTATTCACTCTTAGTAATATGTCACTGCAATAGCAAATAAAGTCACTGTGTGTTCCGACCCCCTTCCTGAAAGCTTGAGCTAAACAGAGAGCGGTGGAGGAAGAGAAAAAGAACTATCATGTGCTACAGTCATAGCTTCATAAACAGGTAACAAAGGGATGGTAAGCACAGTGTAGATCAAATTCAAAGTAGATAGAGTATTACTGAATACAAAATATCCAAGGAGGGCTGCGCTACAAGAGAAGAAAGCACACCACAAAGAAAACGCAACTGAGAGTACATGATATCTCAGTCCTGTATCAAAGAATGGTTAGGGTTGGAAGGCACCTTAAAGATCATCTAGTTCCAACCCCCCTGCCACGGGCAGGGACACCCTCCACTACACCAGATGGCTCAAAGCCTCATCCAACCTGGCCTTGAACACTTCCAGGGATGGGGCATCTTGTATTGCAACATTAGATCTACACTACGTTTTAAGTTAGAAGAAAGCCTAATTGTCAGAACAGACAAACCAGTCCCTCAAACAAATTTAGCTTATAGAAGAAAACCTCAGACAAATAGTATTGACAGTTTTCAAGCACCCACTCAAATGTTTTTCCATTTTTTTCAGCTGAAAGCCCAGCTTTTCAAATCAAAAATGTTTTCTCAGAGTACGTTTTCTGAAAAACTGAGGTTAATCAGTTTCTCAATCAGAGTACTTATGTTAAATATGCCTTTTTGGGTTATTTAAGCATGAAGGCACTTTAAAGAGCTATGGCTTTTCTTGAGAGAAGTAAACAGGCTGCTTGTACTTCAAATGTCCCATACGCTGGCTCCAGGAACACTTGATCTCTCTGAAACCATAGAGTTCCAATTGCTCCTTCTGGGACTGAGAAACACAGAGCAGGACTACATTTTGACTGTAACAAAAATTAACCCACTCTAAACGGAATCCAGATTTACCTTCAAGCTTAATTACATATGGTATAATTGAACATTCCCAGATGGACAACACTTGTCATCTCCTTCAGAGAACAATCACAAACCAAAAATAAATTAGAAAGCCACAACCTAAAGTGAAAAGCATTTCACAAGCATATCTACAAAGCCCTACCAAATCTGAAAAACAGCTGATGGGAATTTAATCATCTGCAGCTCTGCTGAAGATTCTAAAATGCAGTATTGCCATTTGCATGGCAGAAACAATTCAAATTACTACTACAAGTATGGTTAGAAACTTCTCAAACATCCTGTTAATTAAGATAAAAGCCAAGAGAAAAAGTCTCAAGATACAGCAAGCACCATAAATATAGGCCTGAGGCCCTGCAACAAATTAGAAGACTAGTTGATAATTCATTTTTTGCTTTGAATTCACCCTATTGAAGGTGTTCCTGGATTCCAAACCTTCTATTGTACTTTAAGGACAAACTTAATTTCGTGTCTGGACCCATTTCTCTGTCCTAGTCTGGTGTGTTGTCATAAATACACTTAGTCCAAAATCATCATCACAGGAAAGAGCACAGAGATGATATCAAGAAGTTTATTCAGGGAGTGAACCTGATAACTTACAAATAAGCCCTTCCTTTAACAAACAGTGCAGACGAATTAGCAAAGAAAACAGAAGAGATACAGTTTAGAAGCGGCAGACAAGAGGCAGACAAGCACACCATATGTCACTATCTAGGCAGAAGTTATTTTATGGTCCAGTTTTTAACGTTGGTCAGAATTGAGGCAGTTTCAGAACTTACGGTCATGTAAAGGAGGGAATTTGTTACCGAGAAATTAAATGTCAAATGTATGGCTTAAACTTGGCAGAGGCTTTTGAACCAAATCTTCCTCCTGCCTTGAGTAGCTCAGGCTCCTAGCTCTGAGATGAGAAAGTCTTCACCAGCCCACGGAGCTGCTCAAAGCCTTGGGTACAGACCAGTCTTGTAAGAGACAGTTTAATAATGAATTGAGTAGAACTATCCAACTGAGTATCTGGGAAACTTTGTATTTAGAGATAAGGAGAAAGCAACACTTAGGTGCCTTTTTTTTTTTTTTTTTTTTTTCAATGAGGCTAAAATAAGGCAAGACTACATGAAAAACTTCAGTTAGAAATTCCCCTAAACTTTGGAATCACGGCTTTTTCATCCCATTTCCTGATGGCAACAGGAGTTAAACTTCCGAAGTGACATTGTCAACACAAGGCAGTAAGGAAAATTAATTACACCCATATCTTTAAGCGCTCATGTCAGCAAAGCCCTTGAAATTTATTTTAGGGAATATACCATCAGAAATTGTTCCAAAGCAAAAGGGTATCGGCACCTCAGTGTTTCACCTATCCTGCACATTCTTTTCCCTAAACTGTTGGGAGCATAACAGACTTCAGAATGAAAAGGACTGATGGGCCAACAAATAGCTAATAATTCTACAGTTATCTCACACACACATGATTTTGCATACAGACAATGAAGCATAAAAGTGACGACCATGCCAAAGCCTGTGACAGAGAGATCCTAGCCAGGTGTTTGCAGTTCCAATCTGGCCTCCAAAGCACTTGAGCCCTTAACTCTTTTTGATGTCTCAAAAACCCTTTTTAAGAATACAGGAACACACAAAAATTTTATGATTTTCAGGGGTACCTGGAACCAGATACACACCTCCAAACTTAAAATTGAAATGTCTTTAAATTTCCCTAGTAGTTCACTCAGACCAACTTAGCAGTTGGGAGTTATTTGGAAAGATTGGCTACTACACATCACTTCTGTTCTGGGAGGATGTTCAGCATTCACCAGAAAGGAAGAGCACTTTTTGACGCTAACATATGGCAGTCCTATGGAAGCCTGCAGTGTTTCCGTGACTGCTGCCTTCTGATGAATTCAGGATTGTCCCATATTCTGCTAGTTCTGTGATTCCTCATTCCTAAGAAGCCATCTGGGATAAAAGGGAAGCCTCACAAAAAAAGGCAAGCACTATACACAAGTGTCAGCTTCTTAAATACATAATCTCAGCTTAAAATAACTATGTTTCAGCAAGCCATGATGGCTGAAGTAGGATTTCTTCGCATTTTCCAAAGCCAAAGCAGGTGGCCACAATATCCTAAAACCCCCGTCAAATCCATCTTCATCTAACTAGGATTTCCTTACGTTTCTTTCGTGCTTTAGTTTTACACTGTACTTTAATACATTACAGTTTCTTCGCCAATTCAATATGATTCTTTTTAAGGAAAAAAAAACACCTGTAAGAGAACAACCATTTTTAAAGACCTCAGTACCAATGTGAGCGTCAGGTACAGTAAGGATTATTGAAACTACTGAAAAGCAAGTGTTTTCAAGAATTTCACCAGATGTTCAAAACAGCTATTCACAGTAAAGGCAACAAACATGTTGCTTTTATCTTAAATCCTTACATAAGATGTCGTTAAAATCTTCAAATGCTTGAAAAGACAGGCTCAGAGTGAGCTTCATTTAATCTTTCAATTAAAAGCTCCCAAAGCAAATCACTCCTACTCTTAATAATTAAACTCCTCCATATGGCAAGTAGGCTGAGCAGGATATAACAGTTAACTTGACAATGTCATTTGTGACATTTATTTAAATGATTAGAGAATGAAAAATAAAGTTCATCATTGCAGCACATCTTTCCACTAAAAACATTTTAAAAAACAGACAAAATTTTGACAAAAAGGGCAGAATACACTTATCTTCTAATCACAACACTGATGTTACTTAAATGAGCTTCCTGAGGAGGAAAATGCAATAATACTTATGACAGCAGAGAAAGGGGAAGGGGTGCAACGTGAAACGAGATTCAGGACATTGTTGCCTCCGGAGAATTTTAAAATGTAGTTTCACATTAGTTTTTTCCAATATTCCATATTAGAAACTCAGGTAATTTCTGAAATTGCGTTTATAAACTTGTGCAATAACAGCAGATGAGACTCATAGATGAAACTCCTCACTGTAAAGTTTGGTATCTGAAGCACTTGTTTCTGAAAACATGCGTAATGCTTAGTAACTGGAAACACTTCAGTTAAAAAGAAAAAAAAAAAAACAACCAACAACTATTTACAGTTCAGTCCTGTGAAACCTGCCATAATTCTTTTAAAATCCACTAACCATCCTTTGGTAAAAAAAAAAAAGATGACATTTCAAACAACCTTAAAATAAATCATTACCACTTCAATATATATCCAAGTGATTTTTGGATGAGAAATCCAGACCTGGTGTGTCACTATTGAGAAGTGTCCATTTATTCTGCTATTTCAGTATCTTTTAATGTATGCAAATCATGTATTTTTCCCCCCACATAGAAACTTGATGAGGCAAGAAAGGCTTTGATTTTTCCTTAAATCACCATTACCTCATCTCTGCTTTCTCCACACCCACAAAAAAGCTGTCTAATTCTGAACTTAAACTTCATCTTTTATACACAGCGGGG